CCAATACAGAATACGTTCTTCAAGTGTAGAGTCCTTGGTAAGCAGCCGCCCACTCATACTGAGCCACCTGTTGAGAACTTTGGGAGCTCCGCTGGCGCGCAGATATGAAGCAGGGCTTATGTGTTTGAGTTTGAGTAATTGCCACGTACGCAGCGGGTGTTTAACTTTTAATTGAATTTGATCGAATGCATGTGATAAAATTAATTGAAGAGGCTCACTGAAAGCACAGTTGCGAGAACTAGGAGAGCACATAAAACGTGGTAGCAAAAGCTGCGCTGTGTCTACTTGACCAAAAGTTTTTAATTGACTTTTGAGCGTAAAATTCGAGCAGCACGTAAAAAGGGGCGTAAGAGGGGGATGAGGCTGGGGGTCGCTGGGTAACAACTTTTTGGGACAGAGCGCGTTGGCATATGTCAAGCGAGAATGGCAGAGTGAGAGAGCGAGAGAGAGTGGGAGTGAGGCAGAGTCGTGGTCTCTGTTCGCCAGGTAATTGATGTTGCCAATTTGTGTTCCATCCAAAAACTTTGTTGTGTAGTTTGCGGTGTTTCATTAGCGGTTTATGTTTTGGCAAGCGCCAAATGGCAAATGGCAACTGCCATTTTTTTTTGTTCTTGGTTAGCATGCATGGTGCTGATTGGACACATCAGTCGTAGGTTTTAAGTATGGGCTGCTGGCAGAGCTTCTGAGCTGCAGCTAATTTGATTTATGACTTATCAAACTCTTGAAGTGGCGCTCAAATTCCCTTCATATTTCGTGATAAATTACGCAACAGCTAGCCCCAGCGCTGTGAAAAGTAAACGCGCAAATGGCCCTCTCTATAAAAAAGGTAGCTCGTAAACCTCAACCGCAAGCTCGAGCAGCCTCAAAGTATGCTACGCAAATGGTTTCGGCAATTTATGATAGAAACATTTTTGCCAGCTTAAGGCAAATTTCAGGTATTTCTATGAGTGCGCAAAACCTGAACAAACGACCTGACAAAGCGGATGTGGCCAATTTCAGCATTTTCATAATTTCCGCTCGAGTTTGTTTTGCTTGCGGTTAGAAGTATTTGGCAAAAGAAGCCGCCAACGCTCGAGCTACCCAAAGTCTTGGCTAAAGTCTGCCGAGCTGCTTCCTTTTCCTGTTCCGCCGCAACATTGAAAGTAAAGCTCGTTTATTTACGGTTTAATAAGTCTCGGTTACTTTGCCATAAAGAAAAAAATTTGGCAAAATAAAATAAAACAACTTACGACAAATAAAATATAAATATGAAGCCATGAACGTTAGAAAAACCTGCCGGAAACTTCTTCAGCTCCCACACACACGAGCCATCTATCCAAGCCGTCTAATTCTGACTCGGGCTGCTGATGTTATGAGTCTTAAGGCTTAGACACATCAAAAATAAACATCATTATAATAAATTTAAAAAGCGCCTTTAGCTCGGATTACGGG